GGAAAGTAGGCTTTAGTGTATTCATGGAAACGCCCATAAATTACATTTAATGGAAATGTTCAGTCACTAGGTTAAAATTAGATGCGAAAATCAGGCGGAAAAAAAAATGTTACTTGGCACTATTTACTTTTGAGCTGACACATCACGACATGCAATATGGAAAATGGTCTGTAAAATCTGAAAATTTCACCCTTTGCAGTGTACATGTATGTAATGCACACACATTCTTTGTACAATGTATGTCTCGCCTTGTATATATACATGTACTTGTACTGGTATGCTCCAGTCTGTTAGAAGATGTCACATGTATGGTACATTACATAAGGCCGAAAAAAAAAGTCTCCGGTTTCTGGTATGCGCGCGTCGCCGTAGCCATGTGCGTCGGCAAAATGAAAAAGTTTTTTTTTCAATGAAAGATGATGTCTCAAAAGCGCCAAACTCACTGGTTTGACTGGAATCAGGCTGCTGCACAATTTTAACGTGTTTTTAGATTGGGTTATGGTCGAGAATAAGCTTTATGTGGCCTCTCTGGACTCCCATATATTTGCACTAAGTTTAGTCAGGCACCATTTGCAGTCATCAGCCGACATTTAAAGCAAAAAAATCAGGTAAAAAAAAAATTTAAAAGCCGCGTCGCCGCACCACATTTTGGGCAAGCTCCATACCAGAAACCGGAGACTTTTTTTTTTTGGCCTAACAAACTGGATGGTGAGTTGGTTCATGGTTGGTTGGAAAGCAGAACATGCATGCAAGATAAGAGAGTGCATTGCCCACCAAATAAAGACATACATTGTACATGCTTCATGGCATATTACCCTATTAGCAGACACACATTGCTAATGTGAGTGGTAGTAAGGGTGTAATTTATACATGATTGTACATGTACGGTATATTGTAATGAATGACAGCATTGAAATAAATGTTACAGAATGACACAAAAATCCGGAAAACCCCCAAAAACATAAATGGAGAACTGAGACAGGAAAACACAACTGCTTGTGGATTCACTCATCAGGGATATCATGTGATTACAATCCCTCCTGATCCTACTGTATAGCCACCTACATGTAAAAGCTTGAATTATTCAGAACCATCTGGTCAGTGACTAATACTTGCTGAAATTGTGGTCGGCTCAGGAACAAAAACATTTGCTGCGACAAGTATACATTATACATGTTATACATTGTACATTATGAGTAATACATACAGAGATACAGTACATACTACACAAATGCACACTTACCGGGGGGGGGGAAGTTTGGAATTTTTGGTTCATTTGAAGTTTTGGTTAATTGTTTTCATTGATCACTCATCTAACAATTAAAGGTGTTATAATACTATAGCAATTTTTCGAATGACCTGCCTTTCTCATTAGATTGATGATTTCAATCAGGATAAAAGAGGGGAAATTTAATTTTCAAAATTGAGCTTTTGGATAGTTCAGTAACTTTTTTTAATGAATGCTAGATTTCTAATATGAATGAGGTTCACACGTACATGTAACTATTTGCGTACATAAAGTCTTTTTTTTTGTAATGAGGCGTTCTGGTAAAATGAGATTGAACTAGCCGCAGGCCGTATTTAGTAGAGAAAAAGGCAATTTCCATTTTCATATTTATTGATATATTTGTAATGTTACACATGTTTTAAAGAAAGTGTATTGTGGAATAACAGTGTTTTTAAGGAAAGCAATTGGCATCTTTCATTTTCAGGAACACCAAACTTGAAACTTTACAGGCCTTTTTCCCAATATGATACTTTCTAGACATGTTGATAAGTGCAAACTTTAATCAGCCACAGCTTGTCAACAGAATGTCCAATTGAAGTGTAACGAAGGGACATACCCATAAGATGGAATTTTGTGTCGGGGTGATGTAAATCAAATGTTCTTCTTTCCTAATAATACCTGCAAACCCTCATTTCGACCTGTGCCCAGTTCTGTCTCATTTTACCAGAACGCCTCACATGTACCGGTATTGTGTCCTGGCCTGTGTACAAAGTACATACAGTACTGTATGTTTGTTTTATACATTTCACAATTTATGCTGGTACACGTACAAATAGATTCAGACATGTCGACATCCCATCAGAAGTGATTACCCCCTCTATTGACCACGGTCATTTCTTAGTCACAGTCAGTGTGGGCTGTGAGTCAGACATACCGTCAGTCAGTTTGACTTTTGTGTTTGCGATTACCATTTTACCAAGGTGTATGCAAATGAAATACAACAAAAGGAAGTTCTGTAGAGTTGCTGGCTGGTAAAGTCCTTGTACATGTACATGTATACGTACATGTGTACGTACATGTACGTGTACATGTATACAGTACATGATTGTGTTTCCCATCTCTGTGCTTTATCATGTAAATCACAGATCGTAGTTAGGGCCCACGACATGAATTTTACTTGGGAACATATTTTGTGCAACTTTCTACTCTTCTTTAGTGTATGAAAACTATTTGGCATCCTTTTTTGGTTAATTTTATTGAAAGGTGGACTTCTTTAAAAATGTTTTCCACTCTTTTTCCATACAAATGAGGGCGCAGTTGCTGTGGTGTCATTTCATGAAGACACTGTTCAACTGTTCAGTGTAGGGGTTTTGTGTTCAAATTGTGAACCCAAAAAAATTGCTCATTGAAAACATTTGTGAGAAAAATTCTTACCAGGGAAAAGTAAATGTTTAACAGCAAAAAATCCAAAATTCTGGCAACTTGTGGTGCTGAAATAGCTGTAACATTGAGATTTCTGCCCGAAATGACCTCACACTTTTGCTCATGAATTTGCATTTAGCAAAAAATGCACCAAATAAACATTGAAAATAAGGTTAAATGGGACACATTTGCAGGGACTGCGTTAAAACAAATTGGAATGGAACAAAGAAAAGTCCCGTGGTTCACAATGATCACACTGACAGTAGTGCTGCTTGCTGTGAAATGATCAGGCATTCCAATACAGAGAGTCCATTCTGATCTTTTCAAAGCTTCAATTATACAAGACTTGTTGCGAGTACCTAGTAGTACAGTATACCGGTACATGTCCATATAAGAGTGTTATAATTTTTCAGGGTTATTTTGAAAGATGCCATTATTTGTAAGCATAACATAATTATTGCCAATTTTGGGGGAAAAAGATGTACACTTTACTTTTCCCCGCTGTGCTCAGTGCTGTAGACCAGGCAAGCTTTGCAGGACATTTTGGTACCTTTTTTGTTTTTATGCTAACAAATGCAAATTTCCATATTCAAGAGCAAAAGTGTGATGTCATTTCAGGCAGAATCCTCAATGTCACAGCTATTTCAGCACCAAAATTTGTCAGAAATTTGGATATTTTGCTGTCGTAAATGTTCTTATTTTTGGTGATTCGGCTTACATGACAGTGAGTAAGCCATTGAGCAAAGTTTTCTCGCAAACGTTTTCAATGAGCACATTTTTGGGTTGGCAATTTGAACAAAAAACCCCTAAGGTGAACAGTGTCTTACTGAAATGACATCACAGCAACAGTGCCCTCATTTGTCAGGAAAAGCATGGAAAAGTTTAAATGTAAAAAAAAGGGGATTTTTCAACAAAATTAACCAAACAGGGATGTCAAATAGTTTTCATACATGTACCCGTTAAGACTAAGAGGATTTTAAATTTGCAACAAATACCGGTATGTTCCCAAGATTCATATCATGCAGCCCTTTAACTGCAATCGCTAATCCATGGTGTTGTTAGATGGCAGAATTGCAACCTCATCCCCAGGGTGTTGAACAGTACGCACCCACCATTGCCTGCTCTCTCACCCTGGTATTGGATCATATGCGTGTGCAAAATTTTTGAACACGTATATGCAAATGACGAATAGTCTGGTGCCTGCCTGTGCATTACTTTTTTTGGGTATGGGGCATCTGGGGTAAAAACAGAATCAATTGTCGCGCCTTGAGTTACGAAAACACGATTGTTTTCAAAGTTAAAATGTTACAATCCCGCCAATATGTAGTATCACATTTCATATTAATGTGAGCAAATTTAAAAGGAAAGGAGTATTTTTGAGAAGGCATGGACTTTATAATTACAATGATAGTGAAAACATGTACATGTAATGCATGTTGGAAATTAACAACACCAAGTACACGATATAAATCCATTACTAGCCAATTGCAGTATCGAATCAGGATACAGGAAGAAAGTTTCCTACGAGGTTGGTTATAAAGTAAGCACTGGAACAAGGTCGGCAGAAGTGGTATTGTATGGCCTGTCTTTATCACAGTGTTCTACATCATGCAGTACCGGTACGTTCCCGCTGAAACACACACAGCATGGTCTGAAAAGGAGCCCCCTTCATGTGCCTTTGATAGTATTTGTCCCAGTTGTGGAATTACAAAGAGTTTGTGTTGGCATCCTGTTTTGCATTATGCTCACCATAAGTTTTTTTTTTAAATTTCAACATTTGACCTTCATTCTGCTACATATGCCAAAAGCAAAATAGCTTTCTAAGAACTTTGCTGAATATTCATGAAGCACATTGGTCCGCCAGTTTCAAACTTTGATGCTGAACCGGTACAGTAGGGGGGCCTACTACAAGTCTCTACAGTACATGTACATGTATGTTTACAGAGGTTTTTTTTATCCTTATGGTTTACGTATGTAGGTGTGCCATTATTTGGATTGAGGTTCATGGCCAGTTTTTGTCCAACATGATGCATATACCGGTATTCAACATCTGGCAAACAAAGTGAGGAAATAGGTCATGAATGCTTCATGCATGACCATCAAGGGTCATTGTAGAACTTGAAATACGGATATGAAAGACTTTTGTCCTTCATTTTTGGCCCACTCAAAAGATCCATGGCCAGGTCACGGTTGATTCCTACATGTACCCCCATGGTTGAAGTCACTATTTCAAGGTAGATCAACAAAGTGGAGCATAGCCTTGCAGGTGCATTGATATGCAGTGTTGTGAATTATCAAGGTTTAATCCCCCCTTATCAGTAGTGGAACTGTCCGCATACGTAGTTCCTGTAGAAAGGCACATGTAGTGGAAGTACTGTCAATGAAAAGGTGCAATTTAGCATGAGAATGCAGGATTTGGCTGAGCTTACACGCATGCACGGTAACTGTGAAAGAACACACTTCATTCAACAACCCACAACTCACAGGAGAGTGAATATGACTAGCTTGGGATCCTTGCCGGATGACTTGTGAGATTTACTCAATATGTTTTTGTTGGTGAAATAATTCTCTATTGTCGAGGAGACCTTGTGTCAATAGCAAAAAAAATTTAACAAACATATTGACCACTGGAGTTTGGATGAAGTAGGACGTGTACAGTACGACAGTGCGTGTGTTGGCTCTCTCGTGGCATCTCATCCTATGTGGGTCTAACGCTTAGACTCAAAAGCTGGCCGGCCTGTTGGAATTGTCAGCCTGCTTGTTCTATCCATCATCAGGCAACCCAGATTATAAGCTGTGGGATATTACAGTGAGGTGGTATAGCTCACTGCAGTGGTTGAGGAGTTTATACCATTGCCAAGAAACTTTTGAATTAGTGAATAGCAGTAAGAGACTGTTGTTGTTAAGGAATGTCGGGGTATCCTTGGTCCCGTGTTGTGAAGCCAGTAGTCATCAACTCCAATGGCATCAGTGGTGAGTGAAATGTAAACATTGTGTGGAGTTTGAAATGTTTGGTAAGCCATGGAGGAGCTTGGCTTTTGAATTATATTTGCCATACATGTAGTTTGCAAATGTACCGTGTATTACATGAACCATATAGCATTTAAACTCTGCAGACTTCAGGCTTTTTTTTCTGGGCTGTCAAACAGAATGTAAATGTATAGGGCCTATACAGTGTACACTTAAACTGTAAATCACCCAACTAATATTGTGTTGTATCATGGAATGGATGTGAATATGAGTACATGTACATTTGTACATACCGGTAAGTACGGTATGTACATAAGTATACGTACATAAGTATACGTACTTTACTATGGCTGTACAATATCTGGGTTTTTTTTACAGCACAGTACATGTACAAGTACATGTATATATGTACAAGTACAAGTACATGTACATGTACTTCATAAGAGAACACATAATTAATCCTATAGATGATGAGTTCTGTATTTTTCTGGTAGGCTGCTTGAATGGATCTCAGAGGGTGTTCTTTTCAGGAACAATGGAGGGGAGCCAGGTTGGTGTAGCGGTACTTTCCTCGCCTTCCACCGCTGTGACCCGGGTTCGAATCCTGCCTGGGCCAATATATGTGGATTGGGTTTTCAGTCCCTACCAGATTCCGTGGGTTTTCCCCAGAATACTCTTCTGGGTTTTTCCTCCCACCTCTAAAACTGTAATTTCTTCACAATGTCTTCTCTTTACTGGGACCCATGGGAGATCAGTGGATTCCACTGAATGGGCTTCCCAGTTAAAATAAGAAATAAAATCAATAAATAAATAAAAAACAATGAATGCACAAAGACATTTACTCATGCCTATCCAAGCCACATGTATACCGCCAGACTACTGAAAGGTCAATCTTCTCAAATAAGTGCGACGGTACCATCCCAGGCTTCAAATTGAAATCACTTGGCATCACTCTCTGGTGCAAAATGTTAAGTCTCCTTTGAAAATTTGAATTTGAGACCTCAAACTTGGCTGGTGAAATACTGACGACCTTGTCTATGCCTCATGAAAAATTTGGAGAATTTTGTCAGCTGCGTTGAAGAGTGTGCACTCTGGGTCCCAGTATGAACACATATGTACATGTGGGCCTTATTGTACAAATTTGAGTATGTGCCACTATGTGCACATATTTGTTGCATTGACCATGGAGCTATAGCTCCATGCATTGACAGAGGCATACAACATCATAAGACCATGGAGCTATATGATAAGTCCGAGTTGAAAAGTTATTCTTTTGAAAAGTGAAAAAAAAATCAAAATTGTTTTTGTAAAGTCACATACATTGTACAGATACATGAGCATTAGGTTGCTTACTTTGCCTTGAGGATATAGCACTTAAGCAAACAGAAGAATGTAAAGATCTTGCTTGTATTTGCCTATGACTTTCAACATGGTCTTTGTAAACATTGCATGTAAACTAGTATTTTAAATTGTGTACACAAATATTATTGCCGTGTCTGACAAACTACATTTGAATGGGTGTAAAGTGCATTTAACATTTATCTTCATTTTTTGTCCAACTTGTTTTGATGAAGGTCAAATCGTTGACACCTTTCCTTTACTAATTGCTTGCTGAACGGATACACTGCTTATGAAAACAGTAAACAGTACCAGGATGTACAGAGTTTATTTGTAATGCGTGTACCTGCACTGCAGGAAGGACCAAGGTCCAGCCTGGCCGTACCTGTTACTGAATACATGAAAGTTGTGGACATGTACATGTATGTATTTCCTCATTCCAAACCTAGGCTGTGCTTAATATATATATATATCCCTAACCCACCTCACTCCTCCAAAATCCTCCTGGCGGTTTTGGAGGATTCTAGAGGATTGAGGATGAATGGTGATTGAATCAAATGAGGATTCTGAAGGATTGAGGATGAATGGTGATTGAAGCACATGAGGATTTTGGAAGATTGAGGATGAATGGTGATTGAAGCACAAGAGAATTTTGGAGGATTGAGGATGAATGCATTTTGAGGCAGGACTGTCTGATGATTTTGAAGGATTTGGCGTTGGTTATCCTTCATTTAAACACGAGTGCAAAGTTTTGGGATGAGGAGGATTTTGGAGGATTGAGGATGAATGCCGAATTTGAGGCAGGACTGTCTGACAATTTTGAAAAATTTAGGCGGAGTTGCAAAATTTTGGAGGATTTTGGAGGATTGAGGATGGTTGTAAGCAACAAGGGCCTAGGGGGTTAGGGTTAATTAATCTCTGGCAGAGAGGGATTGTTTTTTTTGGGGGGGGGGGGGGAAGGGGAGCAGAAAGGTTGTGGGAATGGAATATTTTTTTTTGTAAATGTCTTGCACATGTTTTGACACCAATTTCATAAAATCAGATTCATTCTCTTGAAGTTTCAAATTTTGACGTCTGGTTTGGGGAGGGTCTATGAAAAAGTGCCCATTCGTGGACCACAGCTTGGTTATCAGTGATAATTATAACAGTTTTATTCGTCTCCTTGGACTACAAGGTACTGCTGGTACGTGTAGATGTTGATTAAAACTTTATTTCAAAAGAAGGTCTTATTCAATGGCTGAGAGCAGGGGGGGGGGTGTTTAGGCAATACCCCCTGGAAAGTTAACAAATTGCTGTGTAATAGTCTATCCTATTTATTCAGAACTTTGGGACAAATTTAAAGTCACAAGTATGATCTCATTCACAGAATGCGCTTGCTTTTTCGGGGGGGTTTTGGGGTTTTTTGAGGGGGAGGGGACTGCAAGCATAATACATTTTACCTACAGGTACTTTATTTGGGGAAAGGGAGTGGCACTAAGTTTAAGTGGTTAAAATTCCTCTTGCATTGTACACATGTACATGTTCATGTCTATTTGAACAAAGTGTACTGTCTTTGCTTATCAAAGAACATACATGTAAAGGACTGACTTTTGCCCTTTTTAAAAATTGGTGAAAAAGTAAACCTTTGTCGAGATTCCTGTTGAGTTGCCCCAGCAACTGTAATCACATGTGGGTCCTGAACTGAACTTGTGCAGGTTTTTTTTGTTTGTTAATCCTGCATGGTCTATGGAACACCTAGACTGATGCTTCACCGCAATGCATTGGCCTTTAATGGATCATCAAATCTTTAAAAATCTGTTGTTTAAAAAAAAGATCCCCTGCGGCGTTGAAGTTCTGACATTTGCATTTCTGTTTTTTTTCTGTAGAAAATACAATTGGCTGAGCTTTGCTCAGCGCCTACTAGTCTCTTTACAAAGTACCGACCAGTATAAATTCATGATCATTTAGATTTAAATCCTATTCATCTACATTTTGTTACTTTGTACGTTCCTGGACTCCAGTGGCGGATCCAGGGGGTACGGATGGACAGGGCGCCCCCCCCCCCTTCCGGATCACTTCCAAAATCTAATCAATTCGTACTTGGTCAAGGACTACGCTACTGGTCGCTATACAATGTACCGACCAGCAGGCCTATAAATCCATGATCATTCTAATTATACCCTATTCAGCTACATTGTTACTTTGTACACTCCTGGACTCCAGTAGCGGATCCAGGGGGTACGGACAGGGTACCCTCCTTCCCCCCCCCCCCCCCCCCCCCCCCCCACCAGTTCTGGATCACTTCCAATATTTAATCGATTCGTACCGGGACTTGGTCAAGGACTACCCCTAAAAAAATTTCCATGAAAATCTATCAAGAACTTTTTGAGTTATCCTGTTCACAGACAAACACTCTAACCAACCGACCAACACACAAACCAACGCCGGTGAAAACATCACCTCCTTGGGGGAGGTAATAACCTGAACATGTTTCTACAGTTTACTTAAGCATGTTAGCAAAATAGTACATTTACCCATCAGGAAACAGTATACATGGTACATACATTTCCAGGTGTGTACGGGGAAGTTTACCATGCAGCACAAATTCCTCGATAGACATCAACTTTGCGGAGTCAGGTCGGGGTAGCAGTTCTTTCCTTGCCTTCCACCGCTGTGGCCTGGGTTTGAATCCAGCCAAGGTCAACATATGTGTATTGGGATTTCAGTCCCTACCTGATTCTATGGGTTTTCCTCAGCTCCCCCACCCCCCCCCCCCCCTTCCACCGTGCCAAGTTTGTTTTTTTATGAAAGTGAACCAACTGCATTTTTGCATCTAGTTTTCAAGACAATGATGCTCAGTGATGCATGACTCAGAAAACCTAAACACGGTATCATTGAAAAGCATAGAGATTACCCTTTCAGATGATACCAGTTTTATAGCCAGTAAACATATCGTCTGTCCATACTCATTCTTTGAAGTTGGGTTTCCTTTTTTTTGAAACGCCCTGTATGCAGGAATACATGTACACGTATGTATGGGTGTGTGGACGAACTTGTGTACTTTTGGCCTGCATTCTTGTTACAAGGTATGTACATGTACATGCCGACAGTCACGTACCGTACACACGTTTGTTGTGTTGCTTTGATAACAGAAGGACTCCAGAGTGGAGTGGAAGACTCTGGACACATTGGTTTGATATTGCACGTACATGTACATGCGCTCAGCCGGTTCACTTTATTCAGTTGAATTGTGTGTGTGGTGCTGTGTGTACTTGAATTTTGGCAAGAACTGTAGTCCAGCATGTATAATGGTGTTGATCTGGATCATGGATGTACTGGTAGTGCCTTAGCCAGGGGCCCTACATCGCTGCTCGTAATCTCCTCGATCAAATCATACGGTAGGCCAACTCTAAAATCAATCAAATTTAATGAAGTGACGGTGGGCACTGTCTGATGTCATTTAAACTTTTAATTTTTTTATTTGAATCTTCTGCGCAACCTGTGCTATTTTTGACAGGTGTACTGGTATGTTCAACGTTCTCTGTCACTGTCAGCCATGCTACTGAACATCGACTATTGATGTGCAATTGCGTTTTAAAATTCATATATATCAAGTATTGGAGTCAATGCACCAAAGTACGTTTTTGGTTGTTTTTTTATTAAAATCTTTAATTGGTGTCTACACATTTTCATGCACGCTATACAGGGTGGTTAAAAAAAAAGGACTCCCACATTTGACAGCAATTTTCACCTTTTTTTAAAAATTATTTTTAAGTGTCGACTAGTAGCTATTAAAGTGCTGGCCTTTAAGCAAATGTGACGAAAAAAATTGTTGCATGCACATTTTGTCGTTGAGCTGTGCTAATTTGAACATTTCATGTGCGAAAAAAATTTATCCACGGAGGTACTGGTATACATTCCCTTCGCTTGACTGAGCTCAGCTATCGGAGCTTTATTTGAAAGGGCATGACATTTGATTGTTATGTTATGTAATGTTATACAACAATGAACTTAAGCCGACAGCTCATTGAGTAGATGATCTTAACACTGACATGAACAATTGGACACCTTCAATAAAAGTTACCAGGGCAAAATATATTTTGGTGGGAAGGTTTTTTAAATTTTTATGAACTACGAAAACGTACAATTTACATAGAATAACCCGTGGACAAGACTGATTTTGGTGACTTGTATTCAAATTAGCATAATATCACTATTTTTGCAACTTTTACTAAGTTTTTTTTTCACCATGCATGGTTAAAGGCCTATACTTTACTACTACATGTACACGTATGTGAAAAAAATATTTAAAATAAGTTCATTCAGTAGGTGCAAATTGTGTCAAACGTGGGTGTCCTTTTTTTTTAACCACCTGTACCGTACGTGTGTGCTGGGCATACATGTGCAGTTAATTTACATGTAGAGGATTGAGGTCCCTCATAAAAAATATGCACAAATATACAACATGCTCTAGGCTTATGTTAAGTTCCTTAAAATCAATAATGTGAACTACTTGCATACGTTATTTGAACCATCTGATCTCGGGGCCCAATTTCATAGCACTGCTTAAAGGGAAAATACAACATTTGCAAACATCAAAAAATAAAACTACCAAATCATTTTGAAATACCTTGCTGGACTGTTAGTGAATGACAGTGTAAAGCATCCTGTAAAATCATGGCACCTGGTATACTGTCATTTTCAAGAAAAGTGGTGTTTTTGTATCAATTTCCAACGCTGCTCGGCCGACCAGCGTTGGAAAAAAACTGGCTTTTTTCAAATACTGGCCCCAATTGACCATCGCACTTGTTTGCAATTGATTACACACCTATGAACGGGTACAAGCCAGCTAGACTGGTTCCCTGACCTTACAATTCCCCAATGTAGGTAAACTGCTCTGTTTCTTCTTATATGGAGTCAGGGAACCAGACTACAGGAAAATGATTGTTTTTCTTGGTTTTTATAGCATTTTCGAACCGAAAACCTAAAAAAAGTCAGTGTAACTATATTTGCTATATATTTCCAACCCCTCAATTCCATCCATTTCTGAAAATTACAGCAAAAGCAAATGATGTATATTCCCTTTAATGGTTCAAATCACATTCATGTGCTTGTAGTGCGGATGATATCAAGCATAGTGCAGGGCTTAATTACACACGGCTGTACAATGCTGAGTATACAGCCAATGAACAAGACACAGTGCATCCTCCAAAATCAACCGACACTTTTTTCGCCATTCAGCCTCTATCCTCCAAAATCCTCCAAAATCACCTGGAGGTTTTCGGACAATGTCGGAGGATGTAGGTGGGTTGGGGTTTACATTGTAGCTTTGAAGCATTTTATGAATAGTCTTCTGTTACACAAACGCATCAACTCGGACCTTTCCAAGTTTCAATTCAATCGTATCAATTCAGACCCTTTCAGGAATGTATCTAACTTTTCACCAGTACACGTCATGACGCGTTTAAATGCAAAGGTTTTGCGGTATTCGAAACGGATGACGCATAAACACGCAACGAGCGAGGCCCGAAATATCTGTTTGGAACCTGCTCGCAGTGAGCGAGGCCGGAAATATCAGAGTGTGCTACCCGGCGCAAAGTGGTTAAATGGCTTTGTTAAAGTTTCACATTTCTGTTTTCCCTCCTTTTTTTCTAACCTTTGATACAGCATCGTGTCCCAACATATCCAATCCTCATGCAGTGATTGTGATGGTGGGCCTCCCTGCTCGAGGGAAGACCTACATCGCCAAAAAACTCACCCGCTACCTCAACTGGATCGGTGTGACAACTAAAGGTATGTAAGGCCAAAAAAAAAAAGTCTCCGGTTTCTGGTATGGGGCTTGCCCAAAAAGTGGTGCGGTGACGCAGCTTTTTTTTTTTTTTTTACCTGATTTTTTTGCTTCAAATGTCGGCTGATGACTGCAAATGGTGCCCGACTAAACTTAGTGCAAATATATGGGAGTCCAGAGAGGCCACATAAAGCTTATTCTCGACCATGACCCAATCTAAAAACACATTAAAATTGTGCAGCAGCAGGATTCCAGTCAAACCAGTGAGTTTGGCTGTTTTGAGACATCATCTTTCATTGAAAAAAAAAACTTTTTCATTTTGCCGACGCGCATGGCTACGGCGACGCGCGCGCATACCAGAAACCGGAGACTTTTGGGGGGGCCTAAGTGTCATCGATGGAATTTTTTCGTAGGAACTGTACAGAACCATCCAAAATCTTGAAATACGGTGTTCTTCACAAGGGTGGTTTTTGTTTAGGGTGCAGTACAGTGACAAAGGCATTATCTCTTACTCACTAGGGTTTTAAAAAAAAATTGTTTACAAGGAACTTTTCTGAAAACTCAAATCCTCCAGCCTGCAGGAAAAAGCAAAGTCGTAGTCTTTGTTCGCCTGCAATTTTCATTGAAGGTAACAGCAGCAGGTCTGCGTATGTTTTTCTGAGTGACATGATACATGTGCTGCAGAGTTTCATACAAACATTTCCACGGGCTGAAGTCTGCAGACTTGTTTGGAACTTCAATTTGGCTGAATTATTATTTTTTTTTAAACTGAAACAGAATTACACACAATTGTCTTGGGTTTTGTTTTATTTAAACCCTCCTTCTGATTCAAACAGTCATAGACAGTCAAAATTCACTTCCACTTCCCCTGCTATAATTTTAACAAAGGCTAGTCACCAGCAGTCAGATCATATGTCAAACAACCACTGTGACTAGTCAAACTGGGTCAACAGACAAAGCAGGCAAGCCATCACAGCTGTTTTATCACTCACCCGGAGTCAAAGCATAGTTGTATCAAGTTACTTAAGTAGTCCCAGCCAGTCAATCCTTCTTTATGTGGGCTGGGCATTCTTAACTGTTGAAAACAATCTCTTGATTGATTCTGACTGCAAGGACAACTTTGCACAAAATATGTATGTTTGCATACCGGTAGGAGGGTTAATGGAATATCACTTCATATAAGAATACTGTACAGGAAATCTAGCCTCCCTTGGTGATCTTTGGAGTGCTCTGTTTTTGCCTCAGCTTCGCCTCCGGAAATCTCAACAGATCACCCCGAGTGGCTAGTTTTTTATTTAACAGAATAGTGAAAAAGCGGTCAGTGTTTGTAAAGGGCATCTGGCATGATCGAGAAGTATCAGTGTCTGGCGACTGCTTTGACTTGGGAATTCAAATTGAAAGTCTGATGGAAAAAACAAAAGATCAGTTAAGACGAAAAGATCACGAGACTACCGGACTTGTTTGTCAGGAAACCACTAGTCTGGCACTTGAATCACTGGACTCAGTTCAGTGGACCAGTGGATATTGCAAGCCCTGCCTGATGCTCACCAAGTGGCTAGGTGCATTTATGTACAGAAAAAAAAGAGGGCGACACCAGAACGAGTACAGTGCGACTTGCTTGGCAGAATTTTAATTTGTGACGTTTCAGGAAGTAGGCCTGTCACTTGCCTTCATCAGACCTAAGAATGATAGCAAAATATCAGAAGACGCATTATAAGTAAAGCTTACAATGTAAAGGACAAAAAATAAACAGATACGTAATGATAAATAGAACATCAATTTTACAGTGTACATTAAGTTTAATATATCCCCAGTGGATTTTTTTGGGGTGAATTTCGTCGGAGATTTTTTATCCCCCTCATCTTCAAAGCAGAAGATGAGGTTGTTCTCCTGACATGGATTGCTTCCTGATTCCCAGAGGCAGTATATCCAGGTACACACCTGCGAGGCTGCAAGTCTGGCTTAAATTTGGCAGTTGTCATCAAGTTGCAGCATTTATTGGCATTTAGAAATGTAGGAGTTGTTTGTGATTAAAGAACCCTAAATAATTGACGGGTCGAAGTGAATATTCTTGAAAAAAAGGCCAAGGCTGGTACTTCCAAAACCTAGTTCTTATAGTTTTTAGGCGTTTCAGGCGGCATGTATCATGTGCAGTAGCGTAGCGAGAAAGTTTTCTTTTGGGGGGGGGGGATATTACGAAAAAAAGTTCTGCAAAATTTCAATATGCTGGACAGCCGTGTTGATGGTTTCAACCACGTCCGCTTACAGTCCGCCACACGCAGTTAACTTAAGCGAGCAGTGTGCAGAGAGTAGTGTTGATCAGTATGTGTGGCTAACCCTCTCCCTTCTCCCCCCCCCCCCATTCTTTGGGTCGGGGGGGGGGGAGAAATTGCTATGCCACTGATAATATGCGAACTAGGGTAAAATTGTCAACTGAAACATGTTTAACTGCAACAATGTCTAATGGAAGATATATTTGTATTGTTTGTAGTTTTGGCTCCTGTTATGTCATTACAAAATGAATGTCAGTACAATGAATGTTGTGCACATTTCTTTTTCTCAATTCTTTACATTTATCATTTTTTTCTCTTTTCTTTCTTTCTTCATCAGTTTTCAATGTTGGAGAGTATCGGCGTCAAGCTGTGGGGAAACCCAGCAACCACGACTTCTTCAGACCCGACAACAAAGAGGCTCAACTAATCAGACAGTAAGCTCACCACTCCGCAAATCATTCTGTAGTACCTTCTGTCTTTGATTGATTCATGAAAATAATTGCTGAGCAACGATCACCCATCTGTCTTTAATGCCTACAAACTAAGGATGTGATGTTTACATGTTTAAAAGGCCCATGCAATATAAGTTTTTACATGTGTCCCATTTAACCTTATTTTAAATTTTTGTTTTTCGTTTTCAAGGACATTTTAGTGCCTTGTTGTTTTTACGCTAATGCAAATTTCCATGTTTACATGTATGAGCAAAAGTTTTATAAGATGGAGCAAAAGTTTGATATCGTATCAGGCGGAAACCTCAATGTTGCAGCTATTTCAGCACCACAAGCTGCCAGAAGTTTACTGTAAATTTTATTTTTCTAGTTATTGTTTGTGAAATGTAAATTTAAAAAAAAAAGCATTAAAATTGCACCAATAAAAATGTCTATTGGCCAGCCATCCTACAGACCTGATGTTTGGATAGTATTTGCTTGGGTTAGTCGCATGCATGTTTTCCTGTTGTTGAGATGCTTATTTAAATCTGAATGATGTTTTCCTTTCAGACAATGTGCTATGATGGCTCTAAACGACATGGCCAGATGGTTTGAAACAGACGGTGAAGTTGCTGTAAGTTGTTGTATTAACCCTATAAACTCCCTAGTGTCTTTTATTAGGAACTGGACCAAGTCCATCAAAATCCATCAATCACTGTGCTTCTTATACAAAACTGTACATGACATGATGAAATCCACCACTGACGCACTGGTTGACATTCATGGACTTGCTACACATGGCTTTTATTACAATAGCAGTACAGGAAGCTAGGCAAAATCAATTGGATACCCCCAGCACTGCTTCAGGCCATTAGGCCTAAGTCCATCATACTCCATCAATATTTAGACACGCCAGGCCTTCTGGACCAAGTCCCCCAAAATCCACCAAAATGGGGGGATGGATTTTGATGGAGTTGGGGTGGTCAGGGTTAACCCTCCTCCCTCTCTGGCTGGCAATTTGAACAAGGCCAGCCCAGAAGTCAAAATAAATCAAGTGACTGTTTTTATTAGTTGAGTGCTCCCTGCCTTCGTAAAGCAGGATTGACTGGCGGTGATTGTTATGAAACCTGATTTAGCTATGCCTTGACTGTGAGAGATTGATAAGCCAGCTGTGCCTACCAGCCACTTGTTTTTGTCTGTTGATGAATTTTACTGTCACAGTGCCTACAAGAAATATGATCTGAAGGTTAATGTTAGGAGAGTGAATGCTTTTAGTTTTGTTCTTCATGGCCAAACTGAAATATTATTTACATGGCACTTGACGTTGACAAGATATATATTATTTATTTGTAACTTTATGTGCCTACATATACGCTTGTGATATCAGCATACAAGAGAAATATAAAGGTTAAACAGGTAATTCCAGTGCTATGTAATGTCCGTAACAGAGCTTTTAAGAGCTCAGTGAATAAACCTGAAAACATATTTTTCTAATCTTTTTCATCCATTATCTACATGTAGTAATGGTCAAGGAGATTACAGACTAGGAGTTTTGGATCATTTCTCTAAACGATTAATTAGATATCCATGGTTAATTGGCTCCGTTACGGACATTACACTTCCTTTCGTAATGCTCAAATTGCCCAAATGTGTCTTTCATTAAATTCATTATAGCGCCACAAAGCTATCAAAGTAACTTCTCTTGTTGCAAAGTTTTGCACTCGTGGGTGATCTAAAGTAATGACTCATTGTTTAAGACTACATTCCGAGCAGATGCTTAAAAGTAGCTAAATAATTAAGAATACCAAAATCATTGATCTGTTTTCTAGACCGTACTTCTTCCACTGATTGAGATTTTCACTGTTCCATTGATTAGGTATTTGATGCAACAAACACAACCAGAGAAAGAAGGAAACTGATCATGGAATTCTGCAACCAACGATGCTACCAGGTTAGTATTGACTTAGAGCAGAGTTGTAATGACTCGAGTCAATGACTTGACTCGAGTCCGACTCGAGTCACAATTTTTGGTGACTCGACTCGACTCCCTAAGGGTAAATGACTCGACTCGACTTGAGTCACTGCGAGCAAATGACTCGACTCGAGTCCCTCATCAGAAGACTCGACTCGAGCGAAGGCTAATAAGACTCGAGTCCCAAAAATAAGAGCACAACTTTGCGAAAAGTATTTGCAATGACTTACGGTGCAACATTATGCTCACTTCGCTTTGCGAATAGCAGTCATGTATAAATACACAATGTGTCACAGACTCCCACCTCATCGTTCTAGAACGCACAAAATACTATCCAGGAACCAGATTGTTAAACACATTTTCTAATTCGCAGTTTCATCATTGGCTTTGGGCGATTTCTTATAAAGCTCTTGGATTCGAACGCTGGCTAAACTTATGGCCTCCTTTTATAAATGTTGGTATATAGTCTTCAAATATTCGTGACTCAAATTGACTCGAGCTAAATATTTGACTCGACTCGACTCGACTCGACCTTTTGACCTAATGACTTGACTCGACTCGAGTCACTTCTTTAAAATGACTTGACTCGACTTGAGTCACTTCTTTAAAATGACTCGACTCGACTCGAGTCACAAAAATCAGTGACTCGTTACAGCTCTGACTTAGAGCAGCCTGCAGTTAAAGGGAATATCAACATTTGCAAACATCAAAAAAACAAACTACCAAATGATTATGAAATACCTTACTGGACTGTTAATGAATGATAGTCTAAAGCATCCTCTATATCATGGCACCGGTGTGCTGTCGTTTTCAAGAAAAGTGGTATTTATGTATCAATTTCGAACGCTGGTCGGCCGACCAGCATTGGAAAAAACTGGCTTTTTTTCCCCAATACTTCCCCCAATTTACCAAATTTAGTTAGTCCGCATTTTGTTTGCAATGGATTACACACCTATGAACGGGTACAAGCCAGCTAGACTGGTTCCCTGACCTTACAAACACAATTCACCGACGTCTACAAATTGCTCCGTTTCATCTGAAGTGGGGTCAGGGACCTGACCATAGGAACAGGATTGGTTTTCTTGGTTTTTCCAGCATCTACGAACACAAAACTTCAAGCAAGTCAGTGTAACAATATTTGCTATAAAATCCTAACCCCCCCCCCCCCAAATCCATCCATTTCTGAAAATTACGGCAAATGCAAATGTTGTATATTCCCTTTAAGAAATTAATGGCTATTCCCTTTAAGAAATCAATGGCAGAGGTTTTATTTCTTTTTCCTAACCACTAAGTTTATAAAAAATAAGCATTTTCTTACCAATGATTTATAGAGATTTGGGAAAATGCATTGCAATGCGCCATTACGACACAAAAAAATATGCATCTCCATGATAACCATGATTGAGTGTGAGTAAAGTTAGACTCGACACGGACTATGTTGGGCACCAGTAGTAAGGAAGGATTTATTTTTAAAGAAATAGTGTACTATCAAAATTGCTGTTTCCAACAGTTGTGTGCAAATCGATGTATTCCCCCTTATTTTTAGTGGTACATGGAGTTTTTCAAAGTGAATCATTGTTTACAAAATTTCATCTACATTTGTCAAGTTCTGAAGTTTTAAACTCAAAAATTGTACATATTGTTGAAAACTTTTTTGGGGGTACTTGTCTTTCATTTCCTTCATTTATCAATTTAACTTTTTTCAGGTCTTCTTTGTGGAGTCAATATGTGAAGATCCTAACGTTGTACAGTCCAACATAGAGGTATGTATCCATCGTGACATTGCCCCCCCCCCCCAAAAAAAGAAGCCTTCAATTTGGACAGGTGATACCCTCAAAAACAAGCATGGCCTTGCTGCACAATACAAGATTATTCCATTATCAGCGAACTACTGATTTTTGGAGCAGTGCATGCAAACGTTATCTTCAAACTTTTTGTACTGAACTGCCAATCTATAAAACGGAGATAAACATCTCATTTCTCTCTGCTGGGTTAAATATTTTTATTATCTCCCTGAAGATTTTGATGTAATGAGGCCACTTCATACTTAAAGGGAATATACAACATTTGCAAACATCGAAAAATACAACTCCAAGTTTTAACAAAATACCTCACTAGGATGTTGGTAAATGACAGTCTAAAGCACCCTGTAAAATTATGGCACCTGGTGTGAAGTCATTTTCAAGAAAATGGTATTTTTGTATAAATTTCCAACGGTGGCCGGCCGACCACCGTTGGAAAAACCTAACTATTTTTCAACTACTGCTCAAAATTCACCATATTTTCACTCCAAATTTTATTTGCTATTGGTTACATGTTCATGAATGGGTGCAGGCCAGCTAGACTGGTTCCCTTACCTTACAATTTTTCGGCATCCATAAATTGGTCCATTTTATCTTTAGTGGAGTCAGGGAACCAGACTACTCCACCGTTTGTGTGTTTCTTGTTTTTCCAGCATTTTCGAACACAATACTTCAAACATGTCAGTGAAACAATGTTTGATCTATTATAGTAACCCCTCAAATAGTTCATTTCTGAAAATTACAGCAAAAGCCAATGATGTATATTCCCTTTAACGCGAGAGTGAACGCGAATGCAAATTTGTGACGTCACGGCAAGTATTTGCACTGCGAAATCTCAATTATTGAACACAACTTGGGCAAATTTCGCATCAATTTTTTTTTTTGTGATGTCATATTTGCTTTGCATTCGCGTGAAGTATGAATTGGCCTTTCTACGAGTATCTTTTTTTTTCCTGTTGAATATCCTAATGTTTGATTATGGACTGTCTATTCTTTAAATTAAAATTTTAGGTGTGTTGGATATTTCCATTCTATTATCTGGTTTGCACTGTGGCATGTGAGACAATGATAAATATTTATTTCAAATTTACTATTTTGGAATGAAACTCTAGTTAAAAAACAAACAAACATTTTTTCAGTGTCATAGCTTAGAAGTGGCTAAGATATGTAAAGAAATGCCAAATGTGTGTAAAAAGTCAAATTTCGATCCCACATTTTGTATGGTGTCTCCATCCTACAAAATCTTACATGTATCTCAGCACCTCCTGAAACTTTCCAAGATTTCATCATTATCATTTAAAATGGCTGGCCTACTTGCACACTTTTCCACAGCCTCAGACAAGATCTACTTACGTAAGACCATTTGTCCTTTTTATCTGATCTCCCTTGCAGGAAGTCAAGCTCGGCAGTCCTGACTACAAAGACAACGACAAGGAGGAAGCAATGGCGGATTTTATCAAGCGGATAGATCACTATAAGAATTCTTATGAACCTCTGGACGAGACACTAGACAGGTCAGTCTGAGAATCTCCACTGAAAATGACGGAGTTACAATCAAATCATCACAAGTTGTCCATTGGCGGATCGGGGGGGGGGGGGGGGGGGGGAGGAGGCAATGGCAACAATTTTGATTCATTTTTTTTATCGGAGGTGAAGACACCTTTTTGTCTAAAATTTTCAGGAAATAAATTAACATGTTGCGTATGTCTGTCGCCAGTCTTCAGTTTGTTCTTATTATCTGAACTTCAATGTAAAATCTCATGGAACTGTTTAATTTTCCTCACATAGGGATGTGTCATTCATCAAGATCATCAATGTTGGCGAACGTTTCTTAGTCAACAGGGTCAGAGGTCAGTATTGCTTTTGTCTATTTACTCTTACTGTTATAAGATGGAATTTTTGCGCAAGGGTGATATTATTCAAATTAGGTTTTGCCCTTCACCGATGGTGCCCTTCACCGACGACTCGAGTGATTTTTTCCAACTTTCACTCGGGAAATACAAAGTATGTGTACACTGAGTGAAAACGTCGGTGAAGGGCAAACCTAATTTGAATATTTACTCTTACTTTTTTGACAAAAATTATTATATATTTAGACCAGTCCCACCGTACCCTCAATAATACTTGCGCCTTTAATCTCATTATTTTTAGTTCTGAGACACGTAGTCCATTGCAATTAAGTGTACTTGATGACAACCATAGGTTAGAAAAACTCATATTAGAACTCAAATGTTGTATATTCTGGGGTGTAGCTTTCCTACATCAGTACCAGTATACACCACTAAAGTACTAGTGTTCCCACCAAAATAAATAGAATGGTAACAGTTGACAAGAATTCAAATATTCCAAAATAGACATCTAGAATTAATTTGAAATGGCATTAGCTGCTCCGAAAGAGGAGATTAAATACTGATATGCAGTTGAATACTGACATTCATCTTTCATTTTGAACATCCCGTATTCCCAATTGTGCAGGTCATCTTCAGAGTCGTGTTGTGTACTACCTCATGAATATTCACGTCATGCCCAGGACCATTTACCTGACAAGGGTGAGTGTGTGAGAAGGGCAACTATTAAAATGTTTAGGAAATTATGTGAAAGATTGACAAGACAAGAATTGAATTTTGCAGGAGCAAAGAGAATTGATTTGAAATTTGTTTTCTGTTGACTGATCGTCCGGGTTGTAAAATCACACCTAGTTGTGCAATGTTTGCTTGAATAAGCTGGCCAGTTGACTTTTAACCCTAACCCCTTTGAGTGATTTACTAGGAACCTTCCCCACTCTTGCAAATTCCAACACCATAATGGTAAACTCAACACCCAAACTGTTGGACTCTGATTATGGTGGTATGCCTGACCCCATGTAAAGCATAATCTAGTGAAGTACTCACTCCAACAGATACCAACAGAACATGCAGTTGGATTTTGAAGGGTTGGGGATGGATAGGGTTAATTAACTATCTCGTATTGTTACATTGTGTAATTTCATTGGTCGAGAACGGCCACGTGTCCAGTCTGTAAAAATCCATATACAGTTGTTAACCTCGTATACAATGTGCATTGCACGTGCGCGTGTAGAACCTGCACGCGCGCTCGAAACTGAGAACTCCTACAATACGCAACCGCCCAGTCTCATATGTCCGGCTGGAAAGCCTGCAGTTATCAAGGGTTACATCGCACTGATTTAATTGATTTCTTGCAAAGTAAGTTACAAGCATTTATCTTTTTTGACTTGTTGGCACGAAATAACGAAACAATTAATGACTGCTGTGATGTGGGATATGCCGTTTTTAACACCCGAGGGGCGCATTCGTCCTCGGGTGCTAGGCACCCCTCGGCATATCCCACATCACAGCAATCTACAGTTATTAAACGGCATTGAACATTGAAAACACTAAAGTTGAGTTGGTTACAAGTCAGATCACAAGTATAAGAGGGGATGAACTATGACCAAGGAATGTCTTTGTCACAGTTTATATGAATACATGTAGCTTGTTACTCCAGACTGGATAACTAGTGATAACTTGTAACGACTTGATTTCATCCTTGGAGTTTTTTATTTTTTTATTTTTTTTTTACTGCACACTTTATTCGTCTTGAATCACATTGAATCATTTTCCACACGCAGCATGGCGAGAGCCAACTCAACCTGCAAGGGAGGATAGGCGGAGACTCGGACCTGTCAGAGAGGGGGTTTCTATACGGCAAGGCCCTGGCCAAGTACATGTCGGAGCAGCAGCTGTCCAACCTCAAGGTCTGGACTAGCAGGTTGAAGCGGACCTACCAGACGGCGTCTACGATTGAGGCACCGATCGAGCAGTGGAAAGCACTGGATGAATTGGACGGGGTAGGTCTAGCATAGGACACAAACCAACTCACGGTAAAGTTGGGGGATGCCTGTAGCAACTTGTGTATTAAAGATGGTTGCCGGTAGGCTGGGTGAACTGGATGCAGTATATTTGGCATGGGACACAAACCAGCACGTGGTAAAGCTTGGTGGGGGGGGGGGGGGTGTCATGTTAGCAGTGTTTTCGTGCCTATACAAAGCAAATCATGCTATGGGGGGGGGGGGCGTTCAAAGTCAGCAGTGTTTCCCTGCTTGCTGTAGATTGTTGATGTTATGCCGGGTGAATTGGGTGGGAAATGTTCTGCACAGAGCAAGTTCGGGTGTGAACTATAGTTAACCATAGTTTGACTAACTTCGCTCGAATGAAGGATGGTTGGACTACTCTAGTTGACTATTTCTACCGGAGCCTGGGGCACGATTGCATCGCTGGTTACCAATAGCTGTTGTATCATAAAGCACAGCGGGGAGCCAGGACTTTTGACCATCGTTTGACTAGAGGTGTTTGTGCGTTGCTATTAGTGCGCAGGTGTAAGTTACGTCACAATCAACCTGTAGTCGACCAATGGTCCTTGCCCGAACTCGCACTTAGGACACCAACATAATAAAACAGGCAAATCCCGTTAGTTTTTTTTTTCCCTTCTGATTATAAATTGTTGCCATTACTCAAATACCTAAAAAGCTATTTAACAAGTGATAAATCGGAATGCAGGCTCTAATTAGGGTCAAATCGTGGAAACACTTTTTGTTTTAATCACCTTTTTTTTTTTACATTTTGATTCCCATTTGCACTTTTAAAAATGGCAGATTAAAAGAGTCTCCATATCTTTGACTAAAAGTCAAAATTAAGTTAACTTTTTTCTTTGGATTCACCCCAGTTATTACCTGCATTTTTATTCATACATGTATGTTGGACATGTTTTAGGGAGTTCGAGTAATGTCAAAAACTTATGGTTTCTGTATTGTGTATACCGTTGGCAGGGAGTGTGTGATGGAATGACATACGATGAAATTCAGGAGAAGTACCCGGAAGAGTTTGCACTACGAGACCAGGACAAGTACCACTATAGGTACCCTATGGGAGAGGTAAGAAGCACCATAGATCAGGCCATGATTTGGGGTAGGGAGGATAAGTACCACTATAGGTACCCTATGGGAGAAGTAAGAAGCACCATAGATCGGGCCATGATATGGGGTAGGGAGGATAAGTACCACTATAGGTACCCTATGGGAGAGGTAAGAAGGACCATGGATTGGACCATGATACATGGGTAGAGAGGACAAGTACTACTATAGGTACCCTATGGGAGAGGTAAGAAGCACCATAGATTGGGCCATTATACAAGGTAGGGAAGACATGTACCGCTATAGGTACCCTATGGAAGAAGTAAGAAGCACCATAGATTGGGCCATGATATGGGGTAGGGAGGACAAGTACCACTACAGGTAACCCTATAGGAGAGGTAGGAAGTACCATAGATTTGGCTATAGTATGGGGAGGGAGGATAAATAATAGAAAATAACAGTGGAGAATAAGTGGAGTGCACCATAAATGGGGCTATAATAGGGGGATGGAGGACATACCGTTGTAGGTAACCTATGGAGGAGGTAAAAAGCACCATTGATTTGGCCATGATATGGGGGAGAACAAAGACCACAGTTGGTACCCTATGAAAGAGGTAAGAAGAACCCAAAATAAAACCATAATATGGGAAAACAAATACCACTATAGGTACCCAAAATGGAACCATGATATAGGCAGTGAGGACAAAAATTACTACAGGTATACTATAGGGTGTAAGACCTACCCCATATGTCGCAACGGTATGGGAAGAAAGACATTTTAACATTAATACAAAATAATCTTACCCTCTAATTTACATGATTATTTGATTTTTGTGTGTCTTCCCCAGTCATACCAGGACTTGGTGACAAGATTAGAGCCAGTTATCATGGTAAGTTTAAGTTTTATTTGGTTTACAAAAAAATGCTGTAAAATTTAAAATCAAGAGCGTGTATCGAAGTCACGAATGAGCAAGTTGTCCCTTTTTCTACAGTTTGCATTGGATTTTCAAATTGTTTAAGGTGGTGCACAGTCACTGTTTGTTTCTGAGTTAATAATCAAAATTACCTGCATTTTAAAAATGACTGGAGTTTGGTGATGTTAGAAGTAAAAACAGAACCTGGACTGTCTATGAACATTGAATAAATGAATTGAAATTTGTAGGGAAAAAATTCAAAGCGAACCATTTTTTTTCCTGTGTGCTGAATAGGAACTGGAGAGACAGAAGAACATCCTGGTCATATGCCACCAGGGCGTGATGCGCTGTCTGTTGGCGTACTTCCTAGACAAGAGTTCAGGTAGGTCTCATCATATCTAACAGGGTTCCCAGTCACTCTGGAAAGCAGGGAAAACCTTGAAAATGAGTTTCCATTTTTCCATTCGGGGAAAACTCAGGGAATTGGGAAAAAGACCAAAAATCAGGGAAAACCCAGGGAATTTTACAGTGTCCAAGAAGGGAGAGGTTTTTGCCAGTTTGGCGTATGTGCGTCTTGTGCCATGGATCCGAGTTGTGTCCATTGACTGACTGGCTATGGTGCTTTTTAGTGTTTATGCAGTGTGAATATTATCAGTATCTTAGTTGCTTTGCTGCAACCACCTCCTGACTTCCTAGCAACCTCGTCCACACGCAAGTCTATGAGACATGGTCAAATCAATAGCACTGCATGCACAAAGACCTGCAATAAAAAATGACCGTATCTCATACGTGCGTGTGGGCAAACTGGTTTTTTTCTGTAAATGGCCGCCATTTCTCAAAATTGTTGTGACCTGTTCTGTCAAAAGCAGACGCTTCTAGGCAGAGGTTGAAATTAAGATAGGGCCAAAAAATGCTGTGGGGGGTGATTTTTTTCGATTTTCAAATTTTTGCATATTTGTAATCCTGAACATGTCTAAAATATACTATTAAGTTTGAAACCCCAATTTGAACTCTAAATATAGTATTTTTGATGATTTGTTAAGGTATATCAGTTAAAGAAATTACTGTTTTGTGACGTTCGTGGCCATTTTCTCTGTTTTCTACTTTTCGACACAATGAACTTCAAAATAGCATAACTCTGCCCAGGAATGACCGATTTCAAAATTAAACCACCTTTTAAAAAGAAAAAGAACATGTTTTAACAATATGCAAAAATCTAATTTTTGACCTTTTGCCCAGAAAAGTCCAATTTTGACAGAACAGGTCACAATTTAGGCTTTTAGTTTCAACGCCGTTTTCACCATATACCACCAATATCTTATTGTTTTATAAGAATATCTTTTAAAAACAATTCAGCATTTCTCCCCAATTTTGAGAAATCTGCTTCCGAAAAAGTTTTGTTTGGACCACCCTGTAGGCTAGCCCCTCTAGGAGTAGCAAAATGCTAGTCATTTATTCACAGCTATACTATGCACAGATATCGAGGAACCTTCAACTTTTTAAATGCCAAACCATTATCTTTTTTATTTTGTTTCCTGAAATAGAAGAGCTTCCATACCTGAAGTGTCCTCTACATACAGTCATCAAACTCACACCAGTGGCCTATGGTAAGATCGAGAGTGCTTGCTTTCACCCAACAGACCATTATTATGTTGCGGCCATCTTGATTTTTTCCCATTCAAATCAACGTAATCAAAGCGAGGCTGGAAGGAAAAATAGTCTGGTTCCTTTTTTTTTGAACAAAAAGCATTATCATTCAGTACTGTTATTGGATACAGGGGACATGACTAAAATGGTGGCAGCATGATAAAGGTCTATAGACCTTATGCGTTAAAGGTATCTCAGAGCGAATTCTTTGTTATATATTAACCCTAACCCTGCCAGATGCAACACAGTGCAAACTAGGTGTAAAAGTCCATACCGTGTTGCGTTGAGCCATCGACACCAGCGCATAAACTGCCAAATCTGAAACAATGAGAGCTAGTCCCATTGAACAATGCCACAGTTGTACCCTGCTGCATTCATATGTAGCATGAAATGTGACAGAGGGGACCCCCCTTCCCTCTTTTGTGTTGGTCATTGTGTTACCAGAATCTCAGGAATTCTTTTGAGATATCTTGGGGGATGTGTTAGGTGACTATAGTCTAGGGTGTGTATAGGGTATAGGGAGAGGGGGGGGAGAGGGGGGTACCCCTGTGTCACATATCATGCTGGGTATAGCTGCATATGGTGACCGCAGACTCTGAGGCAGTTTAACCTTGTGATTTTTGACCTGATGGATCTTGCTGCACTGAACATGCATGCCATTTTGACAAGGGTTGCATGTTGCTGCGTTCAGCAGGGTTTTCTAGCCACAATACCCCAGGGTTAATGTGGTAACAGTGAATGCACAAGACATTTACTCGTGCCAGTCCAAGCGATACAAAACCATTGCCCTCTAACTCCGCCTTATCGCATAAAGTCTATTACAAGGCAGTTTAGTATGAAGATTTTTTCACTTCAGTCCAAACACACAAGATAAATACACGGAAGAAAACCTGGCGGGGAGCATCGCGCTTGTGTTCTTGGGCAAGACGCTTTACTACAATTGTCTGTCTCCAGCGAGGAGTAGACATGGGCACCTGTGAATGTAGAGACCAGAATGCTCTGATCTCGAGCTGCTGCAGAAAAAAAATGGTCTCATGGCCTGACGGAGGGGTAATAATTGTAAAGTGCTTTGTGACTTTTGGTATAAAGAGCTATATGAGCACGTTATTATTATTATTGTTAGATACTGGGAACCATCCACTTTACAGCTTTTCAAAAACTTTGGAATTTTTTAGTTTCAGTTTTATTGTTACTTCTTTTACTTTGAAGAAATCTTGAGTATACAGCGTGTGTCAATAAAAACTTATAGAGTCGGAAGGTGTAGTAAATACTCTACACAATGGTCTTCATCCCTTGAATTCCAAGTTGGGCCACTTTTCAGATTATCTGGTATCTAATGAAAGGCTTTCACATATACCAAAAAGGTGTGTGAATGCCTCTCATTAGATACCGGATAATCTGGAAAGTGGCCCAAGCAGATTTTGACCGTCTTTACAAGCTTTGCCGTAACTTTTAAACAAAAGGTCCAAATTACACAGAACAAAGATCCTGTCCAGGGTAAAGAAACACTCTATCATCTCATGGTAAAAAAACCAACAATTTAGTTTCCTCAGAAAAAAGTTGTTTGACTGCAACATTTTGTTTGGAGACACGCTGTACGTCACATTTTTTGTCATCCAAATTTTAATATTTTTTTTTAGGTTGTAGAGTGGAAACGATCTCTCTAAATGTGGAGGCTGTAGACACACATCGAACAAAGCCTGCGGTAAGTCCAACTGTGAAATATTCTAAGCTTATATTTAAAATTCTCCCTTTAAAGTTCTCTCATAGTCCACGCCCAATTTCTGAATAACTTTCTGACTAACCGAAAATGGTTGCATATTTAATTCTTCACAAATCCACTGTTCTGGATCACTTTTATTTGCATTAAATTAGTTAGTACTGTGTGAACCGTCAAAAACGGGATCTATGCACATGTGCGTACAATCTGGGAAGGGGAGGGGTGGGGGGGGGAAATCAGTTTTGTGGAGTTTGAGCTTTGAGAGCACAGTGCATGATTTGAATACACATGCCTCTTTTGGTGATGTCATTTGGGCAATTTCAGCGTTATGTCATGTCTGTGACAGCTTTTAAAGAGGTTGTGGGATGCTCGAAGACATTTCCGTCATTTTTCGGGTATAAGTAGCCTAAGGTGTGATGAAATAAAAACCAGCTATTGTGTCTCATGAAATGAGTACAAAAGGTACTTTTGAGAGCTGTTTTTCAGGTCCTGTTGCGACCCGAACATGCAATTTGTGTAAAAGTCGTTGTTGGGGGCAGCAAACAAAACACAGTAAATCGTGACGTAATAAACAGGACTCCCGATGCAGCGTAGTATGAACGAGTCCTGTTGATTACGTCACGATTTACTATGTTTTGTTTGCTGCCCCCAACGACGACTTTTACACAAATTGCACGTTCTGGTCGAAACAGGACCTGAAAAACAGCTCTCAAAAGTACCTTTTGTACTCATTTCATGACAGACACAATAGTCGTTTTTATTTCATCACACCTTAGGCTACATATACATGTACCCGAAAAATGACGGAAATGTTTTCGAGAATTCCACAACCTCTTTAAGAGCTCAGTGAATAAACCTGAAAATGCATTTTTTCAAATCTTATACATCCGTCATCTAGTAATGGTCAAGGAGATTACCGGATAGCAATAATAAATGAGATATCATGGTTAATTGGCTCACTCACAGACATTACCCTTCTTTTCATAACGCTGGAATTGCCCATTTTTTTTGAGGCAACAAAATATGTATCAAAATGTTTGAGCTCAAACCGTATGCTTTGAAAGGGAATGCTGAAGTTCTTAAAGAGACAGTGTTGTCTGAAAGAAATCAAGCTGGACACACTGCGCTTCCAGAAAAACTACGTAAAATTTGATTTCCTCTTTTAATCAAAGTTTGCCAGGCAGTGAAAATTCTCAGAGTATTTGACACAAATTCAAAATATGCCCTCTGGTTGAACTGAGAACATCATTTTTTTTTTAATCACCTTAAAATGTGCGTGGACTTTATTTTAAACATCGGTGGACAATTCGAGGACGAACATAAGCACATGTATGGACTCCCAAGTGTGCACATTACTGAAGGAACAGAATTTTCTAAAGCTCTAGGGGAAAACAAAATCTGTCCATTTTAGGCAACCACCCCTGAAACTGATTTCTCTCATCTTGTCTGTCACGTTTTAACAACTCATCGTAGACCATTGAACACAATAAATAACTTGGCACGGGTGCAGCATTTGGAGGCATTAACCTGGGTTATATGACTCGTGTGTACATGTATGTGAGTTTGTTTCTGCATTCAGTAGGGGATGTTGGACAATAGGGTCCCCAATTCCCGAAGGTCCCCAATTTGGCGATCGTGTACAAAACATATGGGAGGTCTTCCTGAAAAGTTAGAGTACAAACGAAAGAGGGACAATAGGGGGTCCCCGATTGCAGGCAAATACACACTTGCGTACAGTGTGTGTATGAAAGTGTCTCAAGTGCTGACAGGAGTTGGCAGTTCCCCTTACATTTTCTTGAGGTCAAGTTTTTCCCCCGGTGGAGAAACACCAACCCTCCATCCCATGGCACATGGATCTTGATGACTGTAGAGCATGCTGCCTAAGGACAATAATTTCTGTGCTTCTGCGCTCCCTCCCTCCCCCCTCTGCCTAATCCTGACTGGATTTTAAAAAAATGTTCCCAAAATTTGGCCTGGAGAGTTTGGCACTCAAGCATCTCTGACATTCCGTAGAGTAACATCAACAAGAAAATGAAAATATTTTGTAAACCATGTTTTCTTTGACACCAGTATTCCTGAAATATTTTTGTGGCTCACTGTGCCTGTAGTGCTCTTGAATTGTATTTAAAGCAAACATCTGCTTCTTTGTTTAAAGCAAGCAAATACGGCACACATTCTTGACATGACTATATCTGACATGGACGCTGCACTATTTAGATATGTTCAAGCCTTAATAACACATTTTGAAACTGCCCACAAGAAATTTCAGCTCAGTGTAGGTAATGTTTATGATTTATTGGTATGATAATAGCATATGTATCTGTATAATGATGTCATTGTAATCGGCGAAATGTAACACGATGTGAAATAAGTTTTAATTATTTGACATTTGAGAGACAACACCACTGTAGCATAACGGGAACCGCATGTCTGCATCTGGAAATATGCATACGATACAGAGATTTCAGCCTCTGCTTATATTGGTGCTGTGCACGAAGCAGAAAACCCTTACAGGCAAGACTCAAACCCAAAAATGTCTACGTCTACTGTCTTGTGAAAATGTCTCTAATCGCTCAACCATCGGTGTTTAGGTGACAGCCAGGTTTAATAATTTGGGAGGCTAATCATCCTTACTCACAGCTGGTATGCTGAATTGCGAAGGACGCGGCTACAACGTAGTCGGGCCGCTGGCACGTAAAGGCGCCTCTGGCTGCCGGCCACATCGACCCATATAAGACCACGGAGCACAGCCTGAGATCGAAAGTGTTTGATTTTTCCGGAGGGAGGAAAACCGGAGGGCCCGGAGAAAAACCCTCTCGGCACAGGAGAGAACCAACGCACAACTCTACTCACATGCGATCCGCGGCCAGGATTCGAACCGTGGTCACCTTGGTGAGAGGCGAGCGCTTTACGCACAAGCCACCCGTGCCACCATATATCCAACTTGGATATGTAAGCAATGGGTGATGTTGCTAATGTCCGAAGGTGAAATAATTTATGCTGTACATGTACATTTTATGTTGGGAAAACCACAAAGTTGCATATTTAAGGGTCCATGGAGTGAATTTGTCTAAGGAATACATTTTGTGCGACTTTCTTCTCCTCTTAATTGTATGAAAACTATTTGACATCTCTTTTTGGTTAATTCTATTGAAAAGTTCACTTCTTAAAACTTGTTAATTTCCATGCTTTTCCGGACAACTGAGGGCGCTGTTGCTGTGATGCCATTTCGGGAAGACACTGTTAGGATTAGGGTTTTTCTGTTCAAATTGTGAACCCAAAGATTTGCTCTTTGAAAACATTGGTGAGAAAAGTTTGCTCATTGGCTTAAGGCCATGTACTGACACCACAATGAACTACCGAAGAAAAGAAAACTTACAACAGCAAGATATCCAAAATCTGGCAACCTTTGGTGCTGAAATAGCTGTAACATTGAAGTTTCTGCCTGAAATGACATCACACTTTTTGCTCATGAATATGGAAATTCGCAGTAGCGCCATGAAAACCAAAAAGGCACCAAAATACCCTTGAAAATGGCAAAACGAAAATTGAAAATAGGGTTAAATGGGACACAAAGATGCATTTTCAAGGGTTGCATTAAAAAAAAAATTACGTTGCATGGGTCTTTTAACCCAAACCCTCCATGGCTTCTTCAAAATCCACAAGAGGTGTATCAATTTGGCATGAAGACCAAGCTTCCTGGTGCCTGATAGCAAAGCTTTCTTGTTATATCTTCTCCACAAAAGAATGCACTGAGGCCCTGGGTTTCGATGCTCAATTGAAATTCATCCATTGGAGGATTTTGCAGCATTGAGGATCTACATTGTAGCGCCCAGCCGTTGAATATGTTGCATTGGGCTTGATGACCCTTGAGAGTTAGTACATGCAGTGTGCCATTTCATCCCTGCACAGCGGAGGATTTCGGAGGATTCTGGAAGATTTGCTTCAAAAGTGCCTTGAATGTTGAGTTTCAAATGACGACCTCGTTGTACATGCAGGTTGTGTGTGTGGTATTCACTTCATCAGCTAGCTCTTTGAGATCTGTGCATGTGCATGTAGGAAGTCTCTGAGGCCGTCATTGTGATGCAGAGTTTACATGTTTGCCACTTCAGAATGCTGTTAGACGCAGGCTCGGGCTGTCATTTGGGCCAAGAATCGGGAAAAGATGGACAAAGGTTACATGTACATGTAGATACTGGCACAGAGGTGTTTCATAGAATTTCACTCCAAACCGCTGTACATGCCTTCAGTGCACTAGAGGATTATTTGAGTACCCACCAGCACTTGTAATTGCTGCTGGAATTGTTGGAGGCTTCAGGAGAGTTTAGAAGATTTTTGGAGGAGTTTTGAAGGATACAGAAATGGAGTTTACCCCCAACCCTCCCTCCTCAACCCCCCCCCCCCAGCTCTTTTGACATAAAATGGTCACTTCCATAAGCTTGCCATAACGAGGTAGTGAAGATCTCCATTTTTTTTTCTGTCAGTACTGTATTTCTTTCCCAAAGTGTCCAGAAATTGTAACTTATAAGAACAGTGTATTAGAAAAGAAAGATAATGTGACAAGATGAAGAAATATTCTTAATTGTGAGGGTGACAAATACATAGAAGTCTTTCAGATATTGGTTTGAAACTAGTGGTTTTTCCCCCAATGCATTTTGCCTGCTGCAATTCAGTCATCTGTTTGTGCACATGTCATTGGTATTCAGTGGTATGTGTGTGTGCCATTGCATCATCGCATGTAGTCACATAGTTAACTTCGCCTTGAGCTTTAGAAAATTCATTCATTCATTTTGTTGTACACATAGGCTGTACTTGACAGTATTGTAGTCGAGTCCGAGTCCGAGTACAACAAGTAGACTGAAATATTGTAGTTATTAAATCCGAGAAAATCATGGTCTTTTATATGCTATGGGGTTAAAGTGTGATTGAGAATCTTTGTCTTCGAGCAAACTGAACCCAAAGCAACAACAGTGTGTAATTACACT